GCTCTTGCCGAGCAGCCGATATGCCCAGACGGAGGCGCAGAAAGGCTGCGAGTACTCAACGAGTTCCGCGACCTACGCAGTCAAACCTGGGGGGAACTGACCGCACCATGGCGGACTTCCGAAACCTCCGTGAGCACCTCTGACGGTTCTCGCTCCCCATCGAGCTCTTCTTGCCGTACGGCGGTCTTCCTGATGCGTGCCGGCACAGAGCTCTGTGCAAGCCGTCCAACGTGATCGTGACGAGTGTATCGCTTTGACGGATCGACCGTACTTGTTATCAAGACTGATATGACGTACACAGTGACACATCAGACGACACATGCTCTCCCACCCGCCGGGCCGCAAAACGCTCTCGACGAGAGCCACAAGAAGCCGTCCGCACAGCAAGCCGCTCGGTCGAACACGTTGCTCGCTCGATGCCGGCGAGCGCATTGCGCACGAGGTAGACGGTGGCGTAGCTAACATCACTGACGAAGACCGTCCGCTGGCGTGAGCGGCGGCGATCGGTCCCTAACCTGCGGTCCTTCACCGCAATCGGTCCTTCGCGCTCGTCCCTAACCCAAAAAAGCACGATTCTGAAGTTGGGCCCTCAGTTGGCGACGGCGTCTAAACTTCGCTCGCGCAATTGCGGGGAGACCTCTTTGTTTTTGCCCGGCCCGTTGCGCTATTTCTCGGGCGTCCTTTGCTCCTCCGGAGGCTCGGTGTGACGGCTGGCAGATGTGCGACCAGAAGATCAGCTATGCCTCGGTCGCGATCTCATCCGCCGCCGCGAGCTGCAGCGAGACACACAACGCGATCCTTCACGTCCCGGCGGGCGACGGCCCCTTCCCGCTCCTCGTCTACCTCCACGGCGGCTTCTGGAAGCCAGAGTGGACCCGCGAGGCGACCGGCTCCGCCGCCTTCCTGGCCACCTTCACGTCGCCGCCCGCCGAGGTTGCGGCAGCGTCGCCGCTCGGACCCGTCGCGACGTTGAGCGTAGAATACGCCAGGGTGGCGCAGGATGATCCGGCAAACTCCGAGGGCGGCGGCGGCTTCCCGGGCACGCAGCTCGACGTCCTCGCCGCGGTCAACGAGGTGGCCTCGCTGCACCGGGCTGGCGGTGAGGATGGCACGGCCGGCGCAGCGGCGGCGCGGCTCGACCTCGGCTCCGTCTTTCTCGCCGGCCATTCCGCCGGAGGCCAGATGGCGCGCTGCCAGAGGACAGAGCAGTTTGCCGAACCGGAAGAACCGCAGCCTGACGGCGCCGCTGCCGGCGTAGGCGCTGTGGCTCGGCCTCCTCTCCGCCCTCCCCGCGCAGGTGCGCCGCGCGGCCATCGGCGAGGTGGTCGGCCGCAGCGACGGCGCGCCGTGCCTCGATGCGGGCACGCAGCGATGGGGCAT